TCTCTCTCTCTCTCGCTCTCTCTCTCTCTCTGTCTCTCTCTCTCTCTCGCTCTGTCTCGCTCTCTCTCTCGCTCTCTCTCTGTCTCTCTCTCTCTCTCTGTCTCGCTCTCTCTCTGTTCTCCCTTATTCTCTATACTTTACCATGGCTGTTCAAGAGCTCGAAGGATCCTCTGTTATCAGGCGAAGTGTAAATAGTTTGTGAAGTTCTCGAATTGATAAAGCGAAAACATTATTCGTCCAATTTAATGCAACAATACGAATATTTTCGTTTTTCAAATAAATTCCATCTTTCCAGAGTTTTCCCCTTTTTAAAAAATTTACCAAATAAAATTAGACGTGCCATCCTCTACAAATGTTTGTAAATTGTGAACTCTTGTAAGTAGGTGCATCTGTGTTTTGATAAGAGTGTATGCACTTTGTTTTCTTCCAGGGTTTCATTTTTGTCTTTGTGGCGCGCCTCATGCTAGTGTCCCAATGGAAAGATGAAGTTCACTTCAGGGACAGGCGAAGAAATATGTGAGTTTTCCCTGTTGCTTCTCAGTAAGAGGTTTTACTTTCTATAGCTTTGATTTGAAAAAATCATCTTGATATGAAACGATATTTTCTGTGATGTGTTTTGATAATGAGCCAGAAGCCTTTATAATGAGTTACATATATAGAGATATCACTTTTCTATTTCATTTTACTTCCATTCAGTTTGAGCTACAAAATCATGTTAAATATCTTTTGGCTCCTTTCTTTTTTACCTTGAAGCATTGAAAATAGAGAAAAGAGAAAAAAAAAACAAATTATAATTTAGACCATTGAGATACACAAAAAAGGCTGTGTATTTCTTATTTTTCTTTTGCGTTTTGAAGCTAACGACAGATTCCATTTAATTTGTCAATATGCTTCATTTAAATTATGGTCTCAGTCATTTAGCATTGTTTTAGGGAATCTTTTAAAACTCCTAATTTCATGTAGTAACCCAAGGCATATTTTGTGGATTTCTTTCTATTTTAAAAAATTGTTTACCAAGTCTACCTTGCTTTTTGGCACATGCCAGGCCACCGTATACGGAATGCCTTGGTGGGACAATGTTATTTTAACCCCAGTCATAACTGGGGCCTTTATCAGAACATTCAGAAACATTAACCTCAATGAGAATTTTAGGACACAATTTCATATTCATTTAATTTGTTATCTTTCAGCCGAGACATAATTTTCAGTGGCATTCTGCTGTTTCTCCTAATTGCTGACGTAGTGATGGGGATCCTCCAGGAAACCAACAGTAACTACAGTAATCAAGTTGTCTTCCTTGTCATAAATGTTTCATTGGTGAGTAGTGACTTATGTGTGTCATTAAGAAAGAGAAATGCTTGTAAGGTGTTTTCTGCAATAAAAACACAAAGAGCTGTGTTTTCAGTCTTATATTTGAGAGTAAAGATTTTGTGTTCCGAGTGTGCTTCTGTGTTTTTGTTTTCTTGAGGGCACATATGTGAGGGTTTTTAAATGTGTTCTGCTAGGGTTGGTGCAGTGGTGTGTGTGTGTATGTGTGTGTGTGTGTGTGTGTGTGTGTGTGTGTGTGTGTGAGTGTGTGTAGTGTGTGGGTTTGTGTGTTTTGAGTGTATGTCTTTGTTGGAAAAACATGAAGATATTAAACGGGGGGAGAGAGGGGAAGAGAGAGCGAGAGAGAGAAATTATTTTGTTACACTATAAATTGTCTTACATAGAGATAACTGAAACTTGTATTTTCATGTTTTACCTTCACAAATACAGTAGAACAACCTGCCTTCTACTAACATACATGCACTCACACAACACTCATCAGTGCCAACAACACTTGACCTCAACATACAGTAGCATAACTATAACAGTCCTCCTAAAACGTTTATGATAAAAGAAAACACTATTAGTGAATGAAATATCTTGTTCTCATATTTCAGTCACTGTTCATCTTGGTGATGATGTCACTGTTGAAAAAACCTGTAAGTTGAATTTTCTACTGTTTCCAAAGAAACTACATTTGTACTTTAATTAAATCAATAACTGTAGAAGCAAATTGAAGTGAAAGAATTGTTTAAAACTCTGATTCAGGAATACTTTTTACTTGTGCTGTGCAATTTTGAGAAAACAAAACTTGATCGAAGCTTGGAAGCGTGAGCTCACTATTCATGCCTTTGGAATACCACCGTTTAATTTTTTTTTCTTAGTATAGCCCTAACTTCCACTATTCAACATTCTCTAACTATTCGCAGTGCCGTCAAATGGTTTTTTCTCATATAAGATAAGTCCAGCCCTAACTTCCGCTATTCACAACACTGTTGAATTTTTTTTTTCTTATATATAATAAGTCCAGCCCTAACTTCTGTTATTCGAAGCACCAGCAAATTGTTTTTTCTTCTATCGAGATAAATCCATATCCCTAACTTCCGCTATTCAACATTTACTAAATATTCACAGCGCCGGTCACTGAGTGCACATGTATTTTTATTGCAGACAGTGCAAGTCTATGACATCCCGTCACCGTTCATAGCGCTTCGAATTTCAAATAGGGAAGGGGAGCTCTTTGCGACACCTAATTCCCTGGGGGGGAAAAAAATCATTCGCTTGCTTGAGCTATCCATGATGTGATGAGTGAATATTAAATAGTAGGCTAATGAATATTCTTTAGAGGAATGTTTTATAAAGCTTGTTGGCTCCTTTTATCACTCTGTCTCATAACCATCAAGTAGAGAGTATTTCAGTATTTATCTAAATGATTTTAGATATAATATTCTCCAGTTTTACTACATTTGAGAAAAATTAGACAAACATACCATTATCTGTTCTAAAATAAAATCACTCAAATGGCATTCAAATGGCTCTGCCGCACCTCAAATAGCTGGGAATAGTGCAAAAATCATGAATGTTGAATAGTAAAGTTGAATGGGCACGGGCACAGCTCTTCTTTTTACACACTGCATTATGTAATTGATGAGAATTATATTTGTAAGAATTGTCCTATTGGATTAAATAAACTAATGTAAGTAGACACTTTACAATATCAAAAGAAATATAATTTTATAACAAAATGTATAACTGAAAGAAAATATGTGCTCTTTTAGATCTAATACAAGTCTGTCTACTTTTCATGATTTCGGTGTCGTACATAAACTTCTTATTTTGACCAAGAACAGAAAAGGTTACCTAAATATTTCTACCCATGCACATACAGTGAATTTCTTTCTTTTACAGGTACGCCTTTTAGCAAAAGCCCAGTGCCTTCGCATCAAAGGAGAGTTGTTTGGGATGTGTGACAAAGGTCCAAATGGTACATAAGTATTTGGTTTTCTATTCAGTTTTATTTTAGTTTTGAAGGATGGAACTGATATATTTGATTTTTAAAATTCACATGTTCTTTTCATTTTACACTGGTTTCAGTTTAATGTGATAGAGATGCCTTATTTCATCCGTTGATTATAAATCATTGTAATGATTAGAAATATTTTGTAGTCACATTTTATTGGCACAAATGTTGAAATGTAGATCATTCTGTAGGAGGGCTGATTCAACTCTTGTCTATCAGGGCTGACCTGGGCTGTAAGAGGATTTACTTAGCGAAATAAAAAAGGATATATTTGATCAAATATCTTCCCGTTGTAGGAATCAAGTTCACTTTTTTTCATCGAAGGCAAAAAGCCTATCCATTACACCACAGAAGTTGGTGTATATCTTTTGAGATCACTTATATGAGCAGCAAATGAAAGTGAAGATTATGATCTTTTAGGCACATATATTTGAGATCATTATGATGCCCATATAATGATATGCCAATGCTGAAGAATGTATATATAAGAGGCAATAATTATATAATGACTATTACTGGCTTGTGTCTTGCAATATCCTTCGGTTCTCATTGCTACAGATTTTTGTCTGCCTTTTCACTATTTTAATTAGTAGAAAGACCCTGAAAAAATTTCATAGCATTAAAGGTTGGAATAAAGCATGAAACATAAGCAGTCCTCTTCTCATGAATATGGTTCTAAACAGATTTTGAACAACCTATAAAGAAAGGTGTTGAATGGGGCACAATGGAGTTTGCTTTAAATGAAAGGACTGAAACGATTTAAACAAGGTTTTTTCTGTCATATCAATAGCAAAGAAAACCGAATTATAATAATAATATGTAACATTATTAATAAATAATGATGCATTTATATTGCACACTTCCATTTTCTAAAAATAATTCACATAACAGCTGAACAGATAGATCTAAAATTATTCATTCAATTGTTCTAGTTGAAGTCATGAGTTTTCCTATATAATATATGCCTTCCTTGGAATCTTCTGCTTTTAAGGATTTCATAATTATCTACAGTCTGTCTGTCAGGTCAAAACTCACCTTGAAATCATATTAATTTGAAGTTTCTTTAACGCATGTTTTTTTCTGAAAACCAACCCTAAAAATACACTGCTAGCTTATCTTGTTCTTCACGCAGTTATAATGTGGTTTTCCAAGAATCAACCCTGAACACAATACACCATCTTTATTCATTCCCTTCACAGTACTAATCAATCCTGCAAATGCGGAGCAGCATGCGGCGGAAGTGGAGCGGATCCATGAGTACTGCGATCGCATCGACCGTGAACGGTACACAAGCGAGCACAAACGTCAGCTTCGCTTTCTCCTGAACAGCAGCGGTTCCAGTGGCTCCTCTGGTGCTGCCTGTTCTGTGCCTATCATTGACTTCAGCAGCTCCAACAGTGCTGTGCATAGTGCAGCTCATCAAAATTGTGCCAACGGTAATCTTGATAGTGGGATTTCAGAAGGTACAGAGAGCGAGAAATCATCTATCTCTCCTCCTCAGAACCAGCCAGCTATTGTTGAGGAGCAGCCTCCTTTGACAAAAAGTGTGAAAAAAACAGATGGTGTAAAACATGGAAAAACCACAAAGAACATGTCAGCTTCTAATCTGCGATTAAAAAATAAAAGTTCAAGAAAGAAAGTGTGTGCATCATCGAAAGAAGCAGCTGCATCCTCTTCTGATGATTCATCTAATTCGTTGTTTTCATCTTCAGCGGTCAAACCAGTCATAAAGTCATATGTGAACATGGAATCTGGTGCGTCTGGTATGGCCAAAGACAATGCTGGAGCTATTCCAAAGAAACGAATCCGAGCTTCTGCCTTATCGGAGACAGAGTTGAAGAACGGTTGTGAAACATTGCCTTTAACGGTGAAGGTTGTTGAACCCACAGAAAGTAATGAAACATCAGCTTACCCAGATGATGTCCAGGCTGAAAGAGAGTGTATGTTGTAAAAAAACACTGAAAAATTGTAATGATAATGTAGTTTTCACTGAATCTACTTTTTTGTGATTAAACACTGTACACAATGTTCATTAATATTTTACTCACACTGCCATACATTATAGACCTGCGAACTCTTTCACTGCCAGTGAAAGATAGTTTCATTCCCCAACACAATGGTAAACATTCTTTTCGGTAATAGTCTAAAGTAGGACAGTAATAGTAATAACAATTTCGTTTTCATCAAACTAGGCAGTGCCTCCAATGTTCAAATTCGGATTAGTCAAGATAGTTTACTTTGAGCTGTTGTAGAAAAATGCCTGTAAAGTAAACGCTAATTGCAGAAGAAATGTGAGGCATTCCATATCACAGTAAGACTTGGTGTATCAATCTAAGCACGGATTTTGTGGATTTATTAATGGCTAAACTATTATTGATAAACACATTGAGACTGCACTTAAGTTCTCGATTAGCACCTTAGCACACGGTATTTTAGTATGCTTTAAAATAATGCCGAAGAAGTTCAAAATAAAGGTATTTATACGTAAGTGCCCCCTCTCATTTACTTCTAATTGTCTTGAAAAAAATTGTAAACATTGCATGCCAGGGCAGTACATGAGCCCCATTGTGAAGTTAGGCTAGTGCAGTCTTAATGATTTCGTCGAATATTTAGGTTTTCCAAAGAAATATAAGAAAGCTGTATTGAAAAAGGCAAATCATATCGATTATGAGAGCCACTTTAAAATGCTATCTCATTTTTCTTTGGAAAAAAAATCAGTTTTGTAAGAAGAGTGCTAGGTGTGGAAGTTTGAAGAATTTGATCAAATATAGTTGTTATTGTCATGATGTGCCCATGTTTTCTTTTTACCCTAAAACCAAAGATATGTTTGAAGTTGTTTAATTTAAAGGGAGTGGAGATCTAGAATCGGGTCAACAATCAAAGACAATTTGGTAAGTAATGGTATTAAGTAATAATATTGCATGGAAACATCTTTGCTCAAACCCTTAAAGCATTCCACCTGTACATAAATAAAAATCAATGTCCCGAAGTTACTTACAAAAATGTGAACGATAATGATCTTCTTTGAAAAATATAGGTTGTGCTAAACAGTCCATCAATCCTTGCTGCACTACTCACTACTTTGTCCGCTCTTTTTCACATTGCTTGAATAGATTGATTGTATGAATAATCTTGTTCTCTGTCTCGGTGAAATCATAAGTATGTTTTCATTTCTTTTCAATATATGTATATCTCTTGATGTGTGCAAACCATAGATTGAATAACTATAAATTGCAATGACAAATCTGTCAAAGCCTGAATCTCAGCAGTTTTACTGAAGATTAATATATCATGTATATTAAGTCTTAAATATTCTCTTATTTTTCACTTTCTACTAAATTTCCGTATTTATAGTCACATGGTGCAAGAAATTGTGGTAAAAGTAAATTTCAACCCCCTAACAATAGTTAAAAGTGTCTTTTGCACATGACATCTTGCTGACGCATGTGATGCCCTACTGAAAATGGAGACCCAGATATGCATAGCGTACTAGGTCAAGCAAGTTCGGAATGGAGAGTTGAATTTTACTCTTGCTAGAATTTCAGCTTTATTATTCAACAGTTCTCTCTTTTTTCCCGTTCTTTGGAATTTTGTACTAACTGAACACTTTGACACAAGTGCAGAAGAATAGCAGAGAAGAACAAAGATACAAAGATGAAAGGAAAATGCTACATCAAAATAGTTTGCTGTCACACATTTTAAATAAAAGCTTTGATGGTCATGCATTTTTATTGTCAAAAACAGGGCTGCACCTGCCTGTGTATACTGGTTCTGTTTGATACCCCTGGACTCATTGGGAAATACTGTTCATTTTTTTTCCAGAGTTTTTAGATTAATAACAATAAATCCTTTTTAAAGTTGACTCGATCCCAGTGTACGGGATCAAAAAAGCTTATCGTTTATTGAGACTGGTCATCTTTCTGTTCTACACCTGTACTTAAATTGTATGAATTTTGTTAGTCCTTTTTCCATTTCTTTTTATTTTAATTGTACTCATGATTTGTTACAAACAGTTTTGAATTTTATTTGTAGGTTTGCTTATTTTTTTAGTTCACTTTTGTGATGAACACAATAATACTGCAATTTTAATATTTCTCCTGTATGCATTGATTTTGTATTCTAGCCTAGATGAAGCCCTGTAGCTAAATGAAAATATGCACAGCTCATCCACAAACATATGCAGATGTTTGGGCTTTATCCATGACAGTTGTTCTGAGGCAAACATTGAATGTGGTGGATGAGATCTCTCGAGACTGTAGCCCTTGTTAGCATTTTTAAGGGACTTTGTTTGAAAGGTCAGGCCTACTCACAGAGCTAAGGACATTCGTTAGTCTTATAAAGAATACGGAGACATAAAAATTTATGTTGTTTCTTTTTATCTTTTTAAAAATTTTATTTTGAACTTTGAAATTCATCTCATTCAATTTAGTAAACACTCTGGTAGGGTAGATGTTTGCGTGGCAATAGTTTTGAATATAACTCTGACTGAAATGGCAGCTGCTCGATGAGGCAGCTTTTAAAGACAGTGCACTTTAGGGACTATTGATTAGCTTTGTAATAAGCTATACATATATTTAGATATGCTCACTTCTATGGGGTTTTATTTTTGCCCTTAGATTGTTTTCAGAAAGTAGATGTATTATACACGGAATCTTACTAGTATGGCCTTTTGAAAATGTTTGATTATTGCTCAAAATTGTGTTTGATGTCAGTATTTTGTGATATACCATGCAGTCCACATACTTATAAGGAAGAGAAAATGTTTTTGAGCTGTGAGAGTTTTTGTTTCATAATAGTTATTTTTTACTAGTGGTTTCTGCTGTACAAGCAATTAATGCTCTTTCTTACATTATATGAAAGCAAGATCAGATGTTTCTCCTTTATCTTCTAAAAGGCATGTGGCAACTAGGTCTGTAAAAAGACACTAGTGCCTGTATCTGTATTTGATTTTTGATATATGTGTGTACTGTGATCACTGTTAATATCACAAGTAAATTTGTAATGTATACAACTGTTTTAGTGTCACATCAATTGCTGTGACTTTGTAAAAACACATGAGGCGTGGTTTTCTTTATTTTTTTACTTTGCTGGTCACATCCGAGACTTAAACGTTCGGAACTGTTGAGCAAACTCAGTGTGATTTTCATTCCAAGTAATTATTGAATTGAATCGCTCACTGTTGTTAGAATTCAGAGAGAGAAAGAGGGAGAGTGAGGGAGAGGAAGGGAGACAAAGAGAGAGAGAGAGAAGACAGACAGACAGACAGACAGACAGACAGACAGACAGACAGACAGACAGACAGACAGACAGACAGATACTCAGACAGACAGACAGATACTCAGACTGCCAGACAGACAGACAGATACTCAGACAGACAGACGGACAGACAGACAGACAGACAGACACAGAGAGAGAGATAAGTAGACAGGGGAAGAGAGAGAGACACATAGACAAAGAGAGAGGGAGAGTGAGAGAGACAAAGAGAGAGAGAGACTCTTTGACTAGGGGTTCTGTCAAGTGAGTCTGCAAATGAGAGGCAGGATTACTTGTTAATTTATTTGCTTTAAAAAAAAAGGAAAAACTTATATTTTATGATTCATAATGTGGTCTCTTTCAAGTAAACATACATGTACAGGCAAATGTTTACACACGCACACACACACACACACACACACACACACACACACACACACACACACACACACACACACACACACACACACACACACACACACACAAACGCACGCACACACACTCACACACTTGCAAACACTCACACACACTCAAACACACACGCGATATTCTTGCATATCCATCAAAGTGTGTTGGCCTCACAATCACCCCTGTTAACAATAAATCTATTTTTTTCTTTTTCCTCTGTGTGTGTGAGTGATTGTGTGTGTGTGTGTGTGTGTGAGAGAGAGAGAGAGAGAGAGAGAGAGAGAGAGAGAGAGAGAGAGAGAGAGAGAGAGAGTTTGTGTGTGTTCCAGGGTTTGCATTAGTCTGTATTCATTTTCCGGTTCACTAATACATGTACTATTTTTTTATTTGCTTGCTGCTTTTTAGTTTTATTTTTTTCTTCATTTTTTTAAAATGATAAATTATGAGGAATAAGCTTAGAGTGACTATAAATATTTTTGTTTTCGGAAGCTGTGATTAAGAACAGAATAGGGAAAAAGTAGCTTTGCTGTCATTTTGCAACGAAAACATATCCAGTTTCCTTGTTGTTGTTTTTTCCTTTTTATTGCAAAAATTATAGGAGCTGAGAGTTTTATTATGTTTTTGTTCTTTCTTAGTAGAATTAATTAGAAAGGTGTTTCCAATGCGGTCATGTCAATAAAACTCTTCTCTTTTTTTTCAACCTGAGGGCATGAAACTTAACCCAAAGTGTTTTTATGTACATGTACGCTTAGCAGCCGTGTGATATTAACAAAGTCATGGAATTAAATTTTGCTTATTTATCCCTTAGTCTTTCAGCATCACAGTTAATTCATTGGAGATGAATCTTTGTAGAATCTACTTTGAGCAAGTTTTATTTTCAGTTTTTGTTTTGCTTTTGTGATGTAGAGAAAGATGTGGCACTGCCAGCCATTGTAAAACTTTTGGTTAAAATTGTACAGTACTGTCACTGTTAGTCATAATATCAATGAAGCATTAATGTATAAAAAAAAAGACAAACATTTGTAAGTATAATTACTTTTGAACTCATCTTGATAAATTTATGTCTGTTTATTTATTCTTTCTGTCGTTTTGCTACTTTTCTTTTACTGAGTTTTAAAATTAAAATTCAGTCTTTACCAGTAAATTTATGTACCGGTAACTAAAAACTATAAAACCAGTTAATGTGACTATCATTGCGAGATGGTGAAAGAACACTTTAAGTTTATTCTTTTGGAAGATTAATCAGTCTAGTTATCTTTTGTATATTATGGTTAAGTTGCTTCTTGCCGATTTGTCAATTTGTTAGAGATATCATCTTTAACTGACTGTCCTTGAACTTAAGGGTCAAATTGTACAACCCTGAATGTGGTCTGCCTTTATCTGCAGTAACGGTGAACCATCTCATTGGTGACACATCATTCTGAGAGGTTGGTTTACTTTTACTTTTCTTCGTGTATTCAGGTGTTCCAAAGATAGTACATAACAAGATGGTTCACTCAGCCAAAAAAGTGTCCGCAGGAAGTATGCTCTTTGCTTCAGATGGCGCTGCTGTCTGTTTTGAAGCTCTCTTTCGTTTTTCCAGAAGAAGAATAGGAATAACACCTCCTTGCGTGCGCAGATCGACTGCTGTTCATCAGCAGTTCGGGTACGTTCAGTGCGTAGTTTTAGGGGTTTTCTTATTTTAATGACCTCTCGCCTTTCATTCTAAAGTCAAATTAAACTAAGAAAACCATCACCCTTTCCTCCAGAAAAGGTTTTTTGTCAGCGTAACCATTTTTAAAAAAGGGTTCTTCCGAAATTTATCCCAAAACATGCTAGTTTCACTTTGATTTTTAAAAACTCAAGTAGGGTAACTCTGTTCGCAAAGAGTGCGCTTTTGTGAAGAGGGCGCCACCAAATTTTGAGGACACTTTTTTAATTGGCTCAAAGAGAGAAGTGGCTCATCTTGTTATGTACTATCATTGGGTGTTCTCAAACAATAAATACACTAGGTAAAAGTAGAGATTATTTTTAAAACATACTTTCACTGACATGAAACAATTCAGGAGCTACTCTGAATTAGAAAGACTACCTAAGTAAGTGTGATCGCCAAAGAGTTGGCTTGAGAGTGTTGTCCATATGTGTTCATCTGTTTGCTGTTGGGTTTTCCAACGAGTTTAAAATGGTCCAGGCATAAATTTGAAGGTCCTGTTTCTTCAAAAACCCTAACTGAAAATGTTATGAGGATTTTAACATTAAATGAAACCAAAGAAGCACTAAAATATTAAAATCTACCTCCCTCATTGTCATATTTGGAAGAATCTCTGTTTTCACATCTTTCACATACTGACTTTTTAAATCCCGTTGAAATAACAACCATTGACAGTTTGTGTTATAGCAAACAGGCAATCAAGCCATCATTGTATTCTACATTCTTAAATTGTTGTTACTCTTTGTGCAAGCAACACATATATAATGATGTATTTGATATGTTGAAGCTGATCACAATTTTTTCATTGTAACTTAAAGCATTACATCAGTGTTTGCCAACCAGGGTGATATTGGTAATTTTGATGGGCAGTGAGGATCACCCGGGCAGTGATGGGTTGTCTATTGTTTAATACCTCGCTTGGAAAAAGACATAGGTGGGCGATACTAAAATGTTTAGCCTCTTAATTAAAGGTGGCAAAAGTGGGCACTGGCTCTACAAAGGTTGGCAAGCACTGCATGACATTATGTATTTTATATACGCCAATGTAATATGCATTCTCTTCTTTTATTGTTCTTCTCATAATATTCTTCTTCTTCTGCCTTTTCTGTGGGGCAGAAGGGGAGGGGGGGGGAGGAGTGTTGTTTCTTTTGTTTTGGTTTGGTTTTTGTTGTTGGGGGGGGTTTTTGTTGGATTTTTTTTTTTTGCAAGATGTTTAAAGTTCTTAATGGTACAAATTCCCAGTGAGAGTTGCCAAATGTAAGCAGCAGACTACTGTACTTCAGAAGAGTTTTTTTCTTCAGTTAATAATATATCTTACTTTTTTTTAACATAGAGCGTGGTGCCTTATATGACAGGTGTGCAAAGCTTTCTTGAAAGAAAAGAGTTTTCCAATCCAGATTGCTATTTCCTGATATCAGCAATTCTTGTAAATGCTTTAGAAGTTCAATTTTATTTCTACTTGTTGGCATCTGTGTCTCTTATAAAAGTTTTGTCATATACCATGTAAGATGATGATGAAATCTATCTATCTATCTATCTAGCCAGCTATCTATCAAGCCAGCTAGCTTGCTCAGTTACTCGCGTGCGCGCACGCACGTGCACACACACACACTGCACACACACACACTCATAAAATATACGATTTTTTCAGGTCTTGCTGAGAATCCTATAACATGCTGGTCCATTTTTTATCTCACTGAAGCCTCTAAAGAACTCCAGGATCCATTTATATATGCACTTTTGTCAGAATAAGCCTCCCTCTTTCATATTACCAAGTTCTGTTGTTCTTGTTTGTGTTTCATCAATATTAAGAACGTTTTTAAAAAAAATTGAATACGGGATGGAGGAAGTTGGAGATGGAAGAAGTGTATTTTTTTGTTTGTTTGTTTGTTTGTTTGTTGTTTGGGGTGTTGGAAGGGGCCGGGGTTGTTCTTTTTTTGGGGGGGGAGGGGAGGGGGTGGGGTGCATTTATTTATTTATATATTAATTTATTTAATTCTTTTTTGGATGAGGGGAGGGGGGGTGAAAATCCAGGGTCATTGATCTCCCAGCTGTTTATCGCATCTCTATTATGATATCGAGTGTGCAATGTATCATCATTTTATGCTTGGATTTTGTACATAATCTATGTATTTACACTCTTTTATTGATCGTAATTTAATTTTGCTTAAATTATCAATGCTGTTGAGATGATCACATTTTTTAACCTCACCCAAAACACTGACTGTTTTATCTTGAAGAATTCCATTGATTTATTTGTGAAATAAAGTTTTCCTTTAAAATAAATCTATGGTTGTTGTTTGTTTTATGTTTCGGTTTGGTATACTTTTCATCTGACTTTTATGTGTTCCATGTTAAGTGTGAGATACTGCTGAGGCTCCCCGAACAGGGAGGGCAGTGCTACAGACT